AACCTTCAGGTTGCTGCACATATACTTCTTCCTCCAAAACCCCATGCAAGAATGCAGACTTGACATCTAGGTGGTGAACCTCCCAGCCTCTGTTTGCAGCCATTGCCAGTACTAGTTTCACTGTATCTAATCTGGCAATAGGTACAAAGACTTCTTCATAGTCCACACCAAGCTTCTGAACATAACCCTTGGCTACTAATCTTGCCTTGTGCTTCACCACTTCACCATCAGCATTCTTTTTCAGCTTAAAAACACACTTGATGCCAATTGCCTTGTGCCCTGCTGGTAACTTGGACAAGTACCATGTCCCATTCTTCTCAATGGACAGGATCTCTTTGTCCATAGCTTCTACCCAATCTGGGTCTCCAGCTACCTCAACATAGTTGGTTGGCTCATCTGTTTCAGCTAGTCGTGCCTCTTCATCAGAATCATATATTAGCTCAACCTCTTCTATATTTTCATAAATATCATTCAAATTCCTGAACCTTTCTGGGTCTTCATCTGAGTTGTAACCTACATGTACACCTGATCCCTCTTGTGTTGAATCTGTTGGATCTCCTCTAGCTCCAACATTTGAATTCTCCATTGCTTCTGCTCCTGTTTCTGTAGGTAACACCCCTGTTCCACTAGGAACACCCAAGTCAATAGAAACTATAACTTCTTCCACTTGGAAATCAGTCATACCCACATCTCCCTCACCCCATCTCCATTGCACATTTTCTTCAAATATGACATCTCTACTCACCAACACCTTGTTCTGTAGAGGATCATACAACCTATGTGCCTTAGAGCCTTCTTCCACTCCAAAATAAACTACTTTCTGACTCCTGTCATCAAGCTTTTTCAGATGTGGAATAGTGATCTTCATGTGAGCCAAACACACAAACACTTTCAGGTGTCCTAAGTGTGGTCTTCTCCCATTCCACACTTCATATGGAGTCTTCTCCCCCATAGCTTTAGTAGGCAGCCTATTCAACAAATAGACAGCATGCCTAACTGCTTCTCCCCAATATCTCCCTAGAATTTTCATACTCTTCATCATGGTTCTAGCCATCTCAACCACTGTTCTGTTCCTTCGTTCCACTACACCATTTTGTTGTGGTGAATACGGTGCAGTGAGGTGCCTCTTGATCCCAGCTGCTTCACATATGCCTGCAAAAGCTGCTGACAAGAAACCCCCCCCCCCCGATCAGAACATAGTATATTGATTTGTTGCCCAACAAAATTCTCTGCCTCTACCTTAAACTTCACCAGTGTAGCAGTGACTTGATCTTTACTTTTCAGCATGTGCACACACATCCATCTAGTATGATCATCAACAAAGAGTATGAAGTATTTGTTATCACCGCGATAGATGGAGATATCGACCCACATAGGTCGACATGTACAAGCTGCAGATGGCTTCTCCACCACCAGAGCTCGTCGCCCAATGGGAACGCAGTGTGCGTGCACCTTAGCCCGACTAGGCACGGGTGACACAGGTCAGGATTGCTGATCAGCGACACTCCACCCGCCATTTCTTTCTCACCTACCATCTTCAAAGCTCTGAAGTTCACATACCCGAGTCGACCATGCCACAACCACGCCGGCTCCTCTATGCTCCCCATCGGACACTCTAACTCCACAGGCTTCAGATCAACACGATACAGCCTGTTAGTTGTCCTCTCCACCTTCATCAGCAACCTCAGAGGATTTTTCTCGAACACCTCAAGCTCTCTATCATCCATCACCACCTTGCAGCCGATTTCAGTGAGCTGCCCGAGACTCACCAGATTGCTCTTGAGCCTAGGGATGAAGTAAACGTCTCGGAGCAGCCACTGACCACCATCTCTACAGTTGAAGAGGATTGAACCCTTCCCTTCGATCTGCACCGCCGAGCCATCTCCAAACTTCACCTTCCCGGTGACCCCCTCATCCAGCTCCAGGAACTTGCTGCGATCCCCGGTCATATGGTTGCTAGCGCCATTGTCCAGGTACTAGTTGCCTCCGGTGACCTCCCCGCCTCTGGTCAAATGCAACTCCGGCGTCACCTTCTCCTCCTTCAGAAACATGGCTCTCTATCGCGTGCTCTGAATCTCCCGAGTTGGCCTCCTAGACTCTGACTCAATCTCCTCCTCGGCAACGACAAACATCAACGCTGGCTCCATCTTCGCACGAGTGTGATGCGCCTCCTCCTCTTTCTTCTCTCCTCGGCAACGATTGGCATAATGGTCATACTTCTTGCATTTGAAACACTGAATGTGGCTTTTATCTTTCTTGCCACCTCCAGCGTTCTCCTTGCCTTGCCCATCACCGCGTCTGCCTTGGCCTCTTCCCCGGCCACAACCTCTACCACACCCAGCCTCAGATGACTTGCTCCTCCCCAACGAGTCACCTCCAACCTTCTTCTGCTTCGCCTCCCACTCTAACTAAGTGAGGAGTAACTGCCCACCTTCAGTCTTCAAGTTCACGGCTCCCCGCCGAGTTCTCTCTTCATACACCTTCAAATGCCCAACCGCCTCTTCTAACGCCAAGGTCTTGAGATCATAGAACTGCTCAATCCCAACAACAACGTTGATGAACCTCTCCGGCACGGTGTCGAACAATTTCTTCACCATGGCCACGTCATCCAACGTGCCGCCCAAGTTGTTGTATCTCACTGACATCCCCATCAGCTTGCCAGCATGCTGATCAAGCATCTCTTTCTCCTTCATCTTCATGGCATCGAATTCGCTCTTGAGTGTCTGCAACCGTGCCTCCTTGACACACTCGGCACCAACAAATCTCGACTTCAGGCAGTCCCAAACTTCCTTGCCTGTCTTCTTCTTCGCCACCTGCATCAGCAGATCATCCGGCAGGCACTGCAACAGGTGCGCCCGCGCCTTCTTGTCCTTGCCGGACTGAGCTGCCGTCTGCGTCTCCGACGTCCCCCTTCGGCGGTTCCACCACCTCCCAGACGCCTTGATCTTCCATGATTGCTTGGACTCAGATGCTCCAACTTGTGTAGTTGGTGGCTATCAGTTGTGGATAGGCGTACTGCCTGTGACCTCCAACACCGCCGCCGCCTGCACCTCCGCTTCCTGCACTCCGATCACCCATCCTGGAAGACACAACGCAACGCACGCAATGCTTTGGCTTGTGATTCGGCTCTGGTACCAGATGTTAGTCACAGATCGATCACAATCACCAAATATCACAATGGCTAGATGAACAACACACACAAGAACACATGATATGTGACCCTGAACCCCAGAACGCGGAGGACAGAGCTATTTTTACTCAGATATGGGAACACAGAGTAGTTGAGGTTACAATGACACAGCGTACATCCCAGAGGGTAATACACAAGCTTAACTAGCTAACACATGCCCTCAGACTCGACGCCTAAAACAAGATACAACCGTCGCTGCTGTCCGCGCACGATGTCGCCCACATTCCCTGAGCACGGTCACCAGCTGCTGGTCGCCTCCAACTGCACTCCTTTTGAATCAGCGTTTCTTGCTTCTTCTCCAGCTTCAGTTGACAGCTCCAACCACCAGTGATTACGCCAACATATAGCTGGATATTTTTCTGACTGCACACATGGTCAAAAAGAGGAAGATGCATACCTGTACATCCTGTATTGTTTTTCTAAACACTACAGGAGCAATATTTGCCAGCCTAAGGGCTTCGTGTATAACCTAATATATGTGATGTAGAAAGAGATCAATGCACAGGAAAAATTCACTGTGTAGAACCAAGAGCCAGTTCAAATTTCTAATTTACGGAGAACATCGATCTCTGACAGTTATGGTCATACATGAGATGTGAATTTCATAGATTTGTACTCCTCCCAGGTGATTTCATCAGAGTCTGGATCTGCCCCTCTTTTCTGGACATTCTCATGCTCTTCCTAAAAACACCGCATAAAAAAAATCAATGCAACGGCAACGGTTTCAATTTGTGGTCTGGAGTCTGGACCAAACAATTTGCTTACCGTTAGTTCCTGCAATGCTTTGGGGTTATCTGTCAGAAACTTGAGAATCGCGATCAGTCCAATCGACGTGGTCTCGTGGCTAGCAAAGAGCATCAGAAACAGCAAGTCCAGCGCGGTGTTCTCGTTCAGTTCAGTGTCTGGCTTGTCCAGCTCGTGGATCACAAGATTGAAGAAATCTACCGCCTCGCGCTCCGGCTCGTTCCTGCGTGCACCGAGCTGCTCCTTCAGCATCTTCATGACCCTCTTGCGTCCCTGAAGAGATGAATCAAACAATTTGAAAATTGTCACTGATCAAAGGCCAGGCAGATAGTCATCTACCAAACAAATAATAGATAGATGATTATTAGTTTGCCTGCATGCATCTGTAGAAGGCTGTGCCGGGAACGCAGAGCGGGAACGCCAGCAGCCCCCTGGTGCACGCGTCGAAGCACTTCCACAGGCTCCCTTCCGAGGCCGTGTCGTCGTGGCTGATCAGCTTCTTCGCCGTCACGCCAAATATCATCTGCGGATGCCGGATAGGTAGTACGTGGTAAGCATGAAGAAACTGTCAGAAGTGTCATCGTCGACAGAGATACATGCATACCCTGGAGGTGGCCGCTCTGACCTCGACGTCGGGCAGCCGGAGCCAGGACCGCAGCTCGGCGCGCGCGCTCCGCTGCACGTCACATAGCAGGACCAGACGGAAGCTCTCGGGGCCGAAAAGGCGGAGCACGAGCGCCCTGATGTGGCGGTGGAGAGGACCCAGAGCGGTGATGATGCTGTCGGCGCCCAGGACGCGCATGAAGGACGGCGGGTACCATATCTGGAAGGCGCGCTCCTCTTCCTGCAGCACGCGCGTGCTCAACTCCGGGTGGAGCGACACGATCAGGTCCTCACCGACAAGGCTCGTCCGAAAGATCGGCCCGTATCTGCAGGATCCACGTGCAAGAGACAGAAATTAGGAGTGTACTAGTAGTGCTTGGTAGCCAAGAGTTCCATAACGAAATTTTTGTATTTCAGATGTGAAATTCTTTACTATGAAAGTGGGGCTATATTACATTATTACCTCTCCAACCGTCGCTTGAAGAAGGGCAACAGCTCGAGGGTCGGGGACGCGGTGAAGAACTCGAGCGTCTCTCCGACGAGCGGCAAGCCCCTCCAACCCGGCGGTAGCCTTGGATCGCAGAGCTCGCCGATCCCGAATCTCAAAACCAAGCCGAGCAGCAAGGTTGCTAGCGCTAACGTCACGAACAACACAGCAGCTAATAAGTAATCCATGCCCATTTCCTATCTAGCGAATTGGTAATCTGTATGCACTCAGTACTTGGAGTCTTTCCTTCGCACACCTTAGTTATTTGCTAGTTGTAGCTTGCAGGGGCGGTAGCATATAGTGTACAAGTTACTCCATAGTCGGTAGTCCCTTGCCCAGTGCCCCAGTTGCCGCTTCATTTCAAAAATATAAGACGTATTTCGTTTTGTAAAAACAAGCTTAATTTGACGAACTATTTCTATGTTAATATATATGATATTTTTACACATAATTTAGGTTGCTAGCTAGACTCATATTGAAAAATATTTACTTATGATTATGATTTTGTGTCACATGTATCTATACTACTATATATATCCTCGATCAGCATAATGTGTACACTGTCATCTAACATTGTAATGCGTATTTTGTTTCGTTGGAACAAGACTTTTACTCTAGTCTTTTACCGGCCCATTTGGTAGACTATAAGCCCTATATTTTGAAATTGACAATCGTTATATCTCACTATTCACATGTATATCGCCTAACCTACAAACGGTAGTATTGTTTCTTTCTTGAACAAGTATAGGAAAACACATAAAACGATGCCAAATGGAGAATACTTCCATGATAAAAAAAAAGTATAGGAAAACACAAGCATATATGCCAAGTTTAGAATTTAAGCTTAGATTGACTGCTTCCATCACCTGAATCAACTACTTACACTCGCATGTATAAGATAAGGTAGATATATCGAAGGAACTGATAATACTGGCTGCTGACAATAAGCTAAGGGTCATCCATATTTGGTTGCTTTGGCAATTTTTACTACACAACACACTAGGCATGTCACTGGTTCTTAGGCACATGTTTGGTTCAAGAGACAAGTGTGACCAGTGGTGGAGGGAAGGGGCCTGGGTTCCAACGTCCTAAATCCCCCCATAATAGTACACCCCTAACTAGCAACTTAACGAATTAGTGATTTATTTGTTTGTTCTCTTCATATTAATTTTCATGGTATCTACATGATATAGAATTAGTCTTCTTATTAGCCCCCCCTCTTTTTTGTTCTTGTTATTGGTGTAGTTTTTCTGACCTACCCAAACCCAACATACTAGTTGGTTCTCACAAGTCACAGTACACCCCAAATTAATTAGTTAATCAATATAATTAACAAATAGTTTCCGCACAGTTGGGTTGTTTTTCCCAAGTGCGCAAAGATTGCAAGTTGAGAGCATCTCCAATGGTTTCCAAAACCCACTTCCAATCCTGATTTTTTGGCAAGATTGGAAAAAAAAACTACTCTCCAACAACTCCTAATCTATCTGCACTTAGGAAAATCGATCCAATTGCGTGCGTATCGATTGGTCAATCTGGAGGTGAAAGGATGTGGGGAAAAAAGGGTTAGGACAGGGTTCCCAATACAAATGTAGAAGAGAGGAAGAAAGTATAAAAGTAGTTTTGGGTAATTTCAAAATAATTTGGGATTTCGGATGCAAAATTATATTTTATATTTTAGGAGCGAGATTTTAGAAACTGTTGGAGAAACCCAATAATATGCTCTTAACTTTTTTTAGCCACTTGAAAAATCATTGATTTATCAATTAGTTTTTTTTTAAGAACTATTGGAGATGAGTTGCTGGAAAGCACTTTTTCATCTTATAAAAATAACAAGATTGGGAGTGGATGCTGGAAACTATCGGAGATGCTCTAAGTTATATGCAGTTAGGATCCTTTTTTTCAATGAGGATCCAAGCTAAAATTCTGCATTTTTTCAGCTCTGGCTTTTTATGAGATCGAGTGTTGTGACAGTTGTATTGTATGCCCCTATACATTAGCGAGCAATTTGGTAAACTTTTACTAGTATATTTTCAGGTACTCGTATGGATTTTACGATCGGTAACCTAGAGTACACTCAAGGCAGCGCAATTCGATGGCTCGTGGTATTACAAGAAAAAAAAGGAAAAAAAATACAAGAAATTAAAAACGGGAAGACAGCCTTATCCTCAGCCACGAACCGCCCCCACACTCCCCGTCACACCCTCCGGCGCACGCGCACGGCGCACACCATGGCCGCTGCTTCAGCATCGCTGCTCCACCTCGCGACCCCGACCCCAACTCGCTCCACTCACCTCAGCGTCCGGCTCCCCACCTCTCAGCTGCGCATCGCCACCGCGCAGCCGCCGCGGGCGTACAAGGTGACGATCGAGCACGGCGGCGAGTCGCGGGTGGTGGAGGTGGAGAAGGACGAGACGATCCTGTCCCGCGCGCTGGACGAGGGCCTGGACGTGCCGCACGACTGCAAGCTCGGCGTGTGCATGACGTGCCCGGCGCGGCTGGTCTCCGGGGTGGTGGACCAGAGCGACGGCATGCTCAGCGACGACGTCGTCGCGCAGGGGTACGCGCTGCTCTGCGCCGCCTACCCGCGCTCCGACATGTACACGCCGCTCTTGTTGATTAGTAGTACTGGTGACAGAGCTTTTCTTGAGAATAGATATTGTGGTATGCCTCATTGCCAAATTTCTTGTGTCAGAATCGAGCATTTCCCAACATTTGGTAGCATACTGCGAATTATCTCCACTTTCAGTGGCTAATGATGCTTCAGTTCTGAAACTGAAACACTGAGACGAGAATGACAAGGAAAGTATTCAGACTTCATTTGCCAATTGTCATGCAGGAAATCCAATCACGTGCAGAGCGATTTTACATCTTACAACATTCTGAGGGCAAAGCGAGATCTTTATTAACTAGACATTGTTAGGATTATTACAATCATCTTGGATGAGATGCAGCAAGAACGCAGGCCCTTGTCTCAACCAAACAACAGTGTGAGCAGAGCTTTGATGAGCTTCGGATTTATTTATTTTACAGAACATATCCGGTTTCCATCGCATTTTGCAGGCAGTGATTGCCGAGGTATTGCCTGCAACCAATCCACATAAAACAAGATGAATCGTATCGGCAATTCAGCACTCATACAAGAACCAGAAAGGAACAGAAAGTAGAAACAAATGCGATACTATAGCACATCAACTGCCTCCTCAGTTTCCAATGGGTGCCAGCACCAAACCAAGGAGCATAAGATACAAAATATGACATAGAAACATGAGCTTACACGATAAAACAGAAGGACACTGCAAATCATGGTCTCTGTTCACTTATCATTGCCTGCACCAGCGCTAGTAACCTCTAGGCCATTGCCTGCAACAGAACCAAATAACAGAGTTGTAGGTGTGCTTGTGTGCGAAACAAGAAAAGGTAACCAAATGGCTAATTCACCATTTATTTATCCTACAAGCCATAAATCGGAAAGTGTTACAAATAGAGTCACTACTAATGTGGAACTGGAACCAGGAAGGCAGGTAACAAAGTGTATACTATTTAGAAATTAGAATCCTGTTTCCAAACATGTGTGCTACTTTTAAGAGAACCTAGTTAGCAGCACTTATGCAAGTATGTCGAAAACAAGTGGATCAGAAAGTACACAGGACACCTTGATAGATTTGATCATAATCAGGCACGCACTGCATAGTTTAGTTAAGGATATTCTCTGGTTGCCAATAGCAAATTCACCCTTCTACTCTGCTCTCTGCATAGGTTGCTCAAAGAAAATGCATAGCCCTAGCCAAAAGTCCAAAAGAAAAACAAAATGCATAGCTCTAGCCGAAGTCCTAGGGAAAAAACAAAACTAACATGACTTAAAAAGCCTAAGTTAGCACCAAATACTTATTCTGTAAGGAGGCCATACAACATGCACATTCCTAAAACTTCTGCAGATATTCAGAAGAACATCATAATAGACAAGGTATACAGATAGCACAACTCATGGACTGAGATCAAGGCAAGCCGACTGCATTGGAACCAACTAGGTCAAATTTCCGTACTTAATAGTTACTAGTTTTACACTACTTATTAGTGAATGAATTGAAGAAACAAAAATTCAGAGGTTGCAATTAATAAAATGTCATGAACTGATGCGCCAATGTAAGTACTGATAATACTACTTATTAGTGAATGAATTGAAGAAACAACGACTGAAAATTTTAGATGTTGCAATTAATAAAAAGTCATGAACTGATGTACCCATTCTAATAAATAATGCTGCAATTACTGAGAAGATTTCATATCATGTTACATGTTAGTAAACATGGAACTAACAATGGAAAGAACATGACACTTGCATACCATTATGCTGTCACAGACAATAGAGCCAACTGGGTAGCAGGGACTAGTCCAAATCCTTAAAGAATGAGGCCGAAGCTGAGCTAGATCCTAATATTCGGATATTCCTTGAGCAATCCCCTCATCCAAACACGCCCTCAGAAGCAACAGGTCATAGGATTTCTTTTGTACAGCTTTTGTAGGAGCAGCCTGTGTCTAACTCAACAGAATATACTAGTATTGAACTTCTGTAGCTACTAGTCTGTACTCAGTTCAACGAAGGTTTAAGGCCCTGTTTGTTTGAGCTTTCCTTTTGGCCATTTTCAGACTACTGCCTTTTAGACTGTCCAAAAGCCCAACCGCTTCCATAGCCTGAGCTTTTGCGTTTTTGGCTTTCGGGAGCTTTTTGGCTTTTGAAAGGTCCAAAAGCTTTCCGAAAGCCCAAACAAACAGGTCATAAGACTTGCACGTAACCATAAATTTAGCAGAACTTCAGAACTTCCAAGTTGTGGACTCTTGAACAGCTACAATTCTCTAGCCAATTGCAACAAGCATGAACCAGATATATTTTTCATCAATTTGACGATGACAAAAATCAACACAAAAGCGGGGAACCTCGATTGATCACCACAAAAACAGTAAAAATTGAGATGAATGAAACGAGTAGGGCGTCTCTATTCTCTCACCGTCGGGGTCGAAGAAGAAGACCTGGCGCGTGCGCCCGTCTGGCTGCGTCTTCTCGAACACCTCGGTGCCGCGCGCCTTCAGCCCGGTCACGAACCCGTCGTAGTCGGCGACGGAGAAGGCGAGGTGGTGGCGCCGGGGCAGCTGCGACGGCGGCGCGCCCTCGGCGCCAGGCCCCACCGCAACGGGTGCCGCGGCGGGGTCCCGCTCGATGAGGTGGAGCGCGACGTCGGGGGAGCTCGGGAGGCGGAGCCAGGCGACCTGGAAGCCCGAGTAGGTGGGCGAAGGGATGCGCTCGAACCCCAGCACGGCCTCGTAGAAGGCGGCGAGGCGGACCACGTCGGAGGTCTCCCGCGCGATGTGGTTGAGCTGCAGCGTCGCCATCGGAGGAGAGGAGAGGGTGGGGGCAAGAAGAGGATCACTATCAGAGGACGAGGAGTTGGGGGCGGCGCGGCCGGCGAGGCGTCTCGTAGTGTTGAGACTTGAGAGTGTGGGGATGCCGTCTTTGACTCTTGCAGTCTGGCTTGAGGCCAGGCCAGCGACAGCGGGCTTCACACGTGTGATCAGTTGGCTCCTCCCCGGATTACAATTCAGGGGAAAAAAAGTGGGACAGATGTGTGAAGGAGCCTCTTTCCCTTTCGGGACATGTGTTTCGGTAATGCTACGGTGCGGGCGTCCGCTCGTCCGGACGCTGTCTCTAAAAAAATCTCTCACTCCGCCAACCGCTAGTCGCATGTATGTTCTGCTTCTGCCAGATCTAGTCTACTCTCGCTCTCCCCAAATCCAGCACTCAAAGTATCGCCTGCCGATGGTGTCTCCGCCCCCACCTAGTCGAGTTCCGTACCCCCGGCGACTCGCCGCGGCCTACGGCCACTCTCCTCTCCTCAACTCCTCCATGGACGCCTAGCCCTCATTCGTCCCCTACCTCATTCTCCTCCTCATTGTGTACCTCGCCGCCACCACGGCCTTCGTCTTGCTTCGCCCACCCCTCATCGTTGTTACCGCGACGTCCGCTGCCACGCGGCTTCTCCCCAAGTCGGTGGTGTTGCTCACATCCTCGGATGGCTTCCGCTTCGGGTACCAGTACAAGGTCCTTCTCCTACACATTCATCGCCTCATCGCCGGCGCAAGCACCAGCGTCCTCCTCATCACCTCTTCCTGCGGCTAGAGACGGCAAGGGTGTCGTGGTCGTGCCGTACTTCGCGACCGCCTCGAGGCTCGCTAGACATGGTGGTCGCCGTCACGCCTAAAATGTTTCAAGCGTATGTTTCAAGTGTTTCAAAGGTATGTTACAAGTGTTTCATGCGGATGTTGCAAAATTTGATTGGGATGTTGCACATGTTGCAATGGTGTACACGTATGTTGCAAACGTCTGTTCCAAATATTTCATCTGTTTTTTCTAGACGTATGAGTGTGTTTATTTAGATGTTGCATATGTTTCACACATATGTTGCAAGTGTTTTATCTGGATATTGCGTATGTTTTACAATGGTTTTCAAGTGTTTTTCATGTGTGTTTTGTAAGTGTTTCAGATACATGTTTCAAGTATTTCATTTGCCTTTGGACGTATGTAACAAGTGTTGTATCTAGATGTTGTAAAAGTAGATCAGGTGTTGCATCTCCCTCATCGCTTTCTGCTGCCTCGTCCCGGTGTCTCCTCCTCCTCCTGGCACCGGTTGGGCATCCGCCGCCCCCTCCCCCTCTTTCTCAATGCTGGTGATGTTCGGGGCAGCGCAGGCCCTGCGTTGGCGAGTGAAACGGCGTGGGAAACAAAATACAGGTGCAGACATCTAGACGCCGGACGTCCGGGCGCTAGCAAGCCCGTACATGTTTATGTGTATGCATTCAGAAAGGTTATGATTTTTTTAATTATTAATTTTAAATTTAAGTAACAACCCCCATGTTAAATGTACACCTATGAAAATATGTCGTAAACTCGTAATCAATGATAGATGTCTACGATTGTTTTATAGGAAAATTCAGCCCACAAATTGGATAATCCAGACTTTCTTTATTTAGAAAGAAAATATTTTCACTCTTTTTTATTTTTAGACAGTTATAAAGTTATACTTGCAGCTTTTATGCTTAATGTTTTACAAGATATAACTTATAATCTTAACTTTTTTAATATAGTGTTTTATTTAATTTATAGATAATTTATCATGTGAACCTTTTTAAGTAACCCCTGAAACACATTTTTTGTCAAATTTCTAGTAACACTAGCTTTTATCGAGAATAGATATTGTGATATGCCCCTTTGGCAAATTTCTTGTGTCCGAATCGAGCATTTTCCGACATTTAGTAGCATACTGCGAATTATCTCCACTTTCAGTAGTTAATGATGCTTCAATTCTGGAACTGAAACATTGAGACGAAAATGGCAAGGAAAGAAGCATTCAAACTTCATTTGCTCAGAGCGAACGTCTGCTCATCTAGAATTGGACATGTGCTAGGGTAGCATTTGCGTCGGACGATTCAAGTGACTTTTGTTTGTGTTTGTTTATTATTAATCATACTGTAGCAAATATGCTCGTAAATTACAATGGCACGCACAACTTGTTGCGGATTACTAATCGTTGTTGATTTGTGGTTCGAAAAATTATTTAACAATCATCCTATTTTCCAATATTGAAATCAAACCACGATGCATTTTGGAATCAAACTTTAATTCGTATAAGCATGGTCTATGAAGGTCATATATGGGATAGCAGGGATCTGCAAGGACATTGTGACAAGAAGTAAAAAAGACGACAGAAAAATCCATCTCTCTAGTTTTTAATATTAAGTACAGATTATATATATGTCAGAAAAGTGGGTTTAAATTCGAAGACGTCATATTATTAATTCGCGTCTTGCACAATCAAATTCTTATATAAGGGACACATAAAGTACGACATGAGTGAAGTCCTTGCTATATATTATCAACAGTAAAACGGTTCTTGTAGGGTAAAAGGGAGACCAAATACGTAAATAAAAAAACACTTGGAAACTTATTGAAATTCTATTTATATTTGGAGAGAATGCATCACAGAGAGAGCTGGCAATGCTCTCATCATTAGTACAAATTGCTAATATCAATACATTTTGCCAGGGAACCGGAAATTTCCCTCTGCTTTCTGACAAGCTTTCCTCTGCTTTCAGGGGCATGCATACAATTACGAGTAAAAGAAAATCCATAGGTGAGCACTGGTGACCAGCAATGTATTGCTGCACTTGTTCCGCCTTAGTCCAGATTCTTCCATTCAGTGCCTTGTGTCCACGCCTCCTGATGATCTGCGACCCCATCTCCTCTTGAAATTACGTTCATCGTCGCTTGCATCCTCCTCACGGGTGATACTCCTGGAACCATGTCTCGACCTCCGGCTGCTCTGTTTATCGTCATACTTTGGAGAGGAATCGCGCATCCGCTTCCTACTAGAGTGATCCTCAACGGAGGCCCTGTCAGAATGCCCATGTTCCCTTCTCTCAGAGCTTGACCTTGTTCTGTTCCTTGTTCTTGATTCTGAGCCATGAGAAGAGACCAGTTGTCGCTTGTGCTCTGGTGATTGGGGCTGAAGACGAGTGTCCTTGGGCCTCTCACTCCTCTCAGGGTGCTTTGAAAGTGCCCTAGTAGCTGCAGTGCCCCCACGATGCATGGGCTCAGTTTCAGGCCTGAAGAAATCAGCAATATGGACTGTTAGCGTCACAAATAGCAAGTGAAACTCTGAATAACTGGAAGCTGAGTATAATTCAGTTAAAGAAAAAGAACACTCTAAACCAAGGATGATAGGACAATACATACCTTTGGTAGCTTGCTGGATAGCCTTGCATTGCAAGAACCTGCGGTGGCATGCCAGTGAAGGTATTCACACAATATGGATCCATTGGATAACCAGTGTACGGCATCCCCATTGAGCTATACATGTAAGGTTCAGTTGCCCAAGGATATCCATTGATGAAGGGATTGTAATATGCAGGGTCAAATGGAACATTGTAACCATAGCCAACATTGTTAGGTTGAACACTCCTAGTTAAGTCTGCCTTCTTCCGCTTCTTCTTCGGTTGATCTGTCCTTGTGACATCGTGTTTCAGGGCCCCTGAAACAGTGGTGGCCTTTGAAGTCGATTCACTTCCATCCTTTACTTTGGGGGCTTCAGCATTTGCTACAGCCTTCTCTGCTGACACTTCTGCAGAATTGCCTTCATCTTTGCTAAGGATTTTGGCAGTGTCTGCCAATTTCTCTAGAGGCTGGTTCACTAGAGCACCTTCTGTGGCAACATGGAGCGCATCATCAGGTGCAGATGCTGCTGGTAGCTGATGGTCTGTAGGTTGCTTCACCTCCCTTGCTGAGGCAGCAGAAGCAGTGTGGCTCAGTATTTTGGGGTCAGGGTTGCTGCCTGACGAACTTCTATGCCTTGTTGTACCACTTCCACCACTGCTAGTCTGTGTTCCCAACATATTGCTGATTGTGCTCCGAAGTGTGTGATTGGGAATGAGGTCATCTGCTAGTGTCTTGACTCCACAAATGCACTTCGACTCTGTAATAATATAATCCCGAATGCCTGACAAAAGGTAAATAGAAACTCGTTCCTTATATTGTTCTTATATTATTCGAATGATAATTACTTGACACAGAAACAGCTAGATACTGCTATAAAAACAAATTTGGTGTAAAACATCTTGGATACTTTTGGATAATGCACTCATTGACACCAAAACAAAGACTTTGAAGATACATACAAATGGAGTATATGAAAACCACTTACATCTATCACAAAAACTGTCAAAACAGCACTTGCTTGTCAATACTGCATCTCTCATCACTTTTTTACATAGTCGGCAGTGGAGCTCTGCTGGCAAGTCATCAACAGCACTAACTGGGGCAGCCAGGACAAGTGAATCCAAAATGCCATCGACAGGACTGACAGTTACTACTGGGACAAGAGACCGACTCATTTTATTATTGTCGAACTTGGAATCGCCAATGGTTGGGCAATGGTGAATAAAATGCCCTGGAATTCGGCATCTGTAGCAAATGTATCCAGGTGGAGGCGTCTTGTTTTCCTGTGAGCAGTGTTGAATGAAATGGCCTGGAACACCGCAAGAGCGGCAGACATATCCTGGTGGAGGTGTCTCCCCTTCCAATGGCCCATAATTACGTCCTGATGTAAACCTTCCACTGCCTTGTCCTCTTTTAGACGGGTGCTGTTCCCTACATGCACCATGGAACAAGATTATCAGAGTGAAGGCAACAAGAAAAACTACTACCATTTCGTGAAAAAAGAGAGAAAGTGATATGCTTACAATTTGAGTTCAGCAGCATCAATCACTGCTGCAATTGCAGCATCTTCATCTTGCACTACTGTGGAGGAACATGACTTTGAGCTTGAGTAAGTAACGACTGA